TAAAAATCAGTCTTAATCGTACCCTCAAGTGAGTACTTCGTCCCCTCAGACCAGGGACACGTGAACGGTCGTTCACTTAGAGTTTGTATACTCTCGGAAGTCAACTTCCTCTGCACAACGTGCTGTGTGAGCCCGTCACATATACTGTGTTTACATGCACCTCAGCCACGTGTAAAACGATGTCTCCAAGTGGCTCGTGTAGTTGGCGCCTGAAAGTGCTATCATGTGATGTTACTGACGACAGCAAGATATTCCAGCATGGAATACACATTTCTGCAGCACCCCCACTCCCAAACCAAACAAGTTGAATTTGTCAATGAAGCGTTTTGTTGTGGAGCAAACTGTAGTGGGCCATAGACCTGCCAAATACGGAACGATTTGATACTTCAATTTCACATGCCTGGAGTTGATCAAGACAAGCTGCTACGAACCGTTCGAAACGCTGTGCGCAATTACAGAAGGTCCGTTTTGCATGACAACGACTTCATTGACGAGATGGCAGCTTTCGCATCAAAGCATCGGTTTCGGGATGCAATGGATGATACTACGGCATTTGCGTTTGGATTCGACTTGGATCACAAAAACGAACCAATTCTAGGTCGTGTGGAGGGTGATGACCCATTGATTGTGGGGTTTGCTACGAAGTCTATCATCCGTCGCCTCGACAGTAGTGCAAATTTTATGCTTCATTTGGATGCAACATTCAAACTTAACAGCAAAGGCTATCCCGTGATAGTTATGAGTCTTTCCGATATGTGGAGACAATTCCACCATATTTGCTTATTTCTGGCTTCCGACTTGAAACAGCCTCAATGGGAGAGTGTGTTACGGGCGGCAATTACGATATACCAGCGAATCTCCGGTCACCCACCTTATATTAGTTTTGTGATGATGGATGCAGACTCGGCACAGCGTAGCGCGTTTGAAGTGGTAGCCTTACAGATGCTCAGAATGGATCAGCAGCCCACTTACATCATGTGCTTTTTTCATGTAATGATCAATTTGCGTAAGAGAGTAATTAAGTTTACGGAGCAAGACAAGTCTATCGTCTATCGATACATCTACAGAATTCATATGGGAGAACGCAAATGGAATAGCAAACTCGTGGTAGTGCCACGAAACACCCATGGGTATGACAAAGACGAAAAATCAGTGGAAAATTTCAATCGCCAACTTAAAAACCAACACACCCTACGGCGGTTGAATCCCCTGTTTATCGAACTACTAAGGGTTTGCAGTGTTCGAGCGATTTTAACGAAAGTCATGGCACGGTCGACTCATGCAGCGCCTCACATTGTTCGTTCCTACCGGAAAGCAATGTCAAAAAACTACTCTGTGTGACAAACAAGTCCGATGGGGTCATTTCCTCGGCAAACCTGCCCACAAACAGAAACTCGATCGCTTTTATCACTGAAAGCGTGGAAGATGATACTGAACGTACTCTGCCAACACTGAGATCTGCTGTGAGTGGAATTTGTGTTTATCACCGCTTAGAACTTCCCGAGGATCAAAGTCGTAGTGTTTCTGATGAAAGATCGAGCTCCTTGACTGAGATTCAGAAACTAGATGAAGAGGATAGAACAGAACTTCAGTATGAAGTTGAACCTCAGCCTTCATGGGGCTGGTACGTTACTGTAAGCGACGAATCGTACAGATGCAGAACTTATTTCAAATTCGGGTGCTGCATTCACGTTTTAGCAGCCCTGCAGAATCTTGGTCTACCCTTCGAGGAAACGCAAGCGCCTCGGCCTACCTTTCCAGACAAGCGGACAAAGAAAAAAAGAGGTCGCCTAACAGAAGTCGGACATTCTTTGAGCCTGGAGTAACGACCGGCTATCATCACGTTGAGCCAAAATACAAAATATACATGAATGAACTACCAAATTACTGAGTTACAAGTTCCGAAGAACTTGGATCCTGGCGTTCCAATCTCTACGGCCTTGGGTAGGTTGACCCCTAGTGTTTCGAACAGATCGTTTAAGATGCTTTTAGCCTCATCGTAGTTATTCTTCACTTTGCGAATCTGTGTTTCGGCAAAGCTTGGTTCCGGCTGGTCGTAGTCTGAATCGGGTTCAAAAGCGGGTACCTCTTGGAAAAAAAAAACGCAGCTCACTCGGCGACTTACCGCATCAAATGCTTCTTCGGATGTCCGTGGGTTGTATTTCACCTTTGCCAAGACGATTGCGTATTTGATGCTCTCGAGTGTAGCCTGCATAACTCCCACAAGACTGCCACTGTTGTACGAGTCGTGAATCCGCAGCATGTGTTCACTAGCCAGTACGTCGTAGTATGATGAACGAGCAATTGCCATTCGCACAGTCCGATTCTTCAGTAGCTCCAGGTTGTTCGGGTTCAGCTCGTTCGCAATGTCGTCACTAACATGAATGACCGGAGCAAGATGGTCTTGAGGGGGACACCAGTTTTCCTCTTTATCCGCATTATTCAACGCTTTTATTGGCTTAGTATTCTTTGCACGGATTCTCGAACCCCGTTTTCGTTCATCAAGGATTTCGTTCGTGCTTTTGGAAATGTGTCGTCTGAGGTCTCTAGCATTCGACGCTTGCACTCTGTATCTCCAAGCTTATGCCATGCTGAGCGAAGACGCATTCCACCCCATCCACGCAAAAACTTGGAATCGCGCTCGATCTGCATAGTGTCGTCACGCTCTAATCGATTTATTGCGTATCGACGAGTGTAGTCATTTCCTCCGGTTGCAGCAAAATGCCATACCGCTTTATGCACTCGCATGGTGACAACCGAATCTTGGAGGATAGCACGAATGTGAACACAACAAAGTAAAAGTGATAAAGTTCATTCTGACTTCCAAGCATGAGATAAGATTCGAGTACAAAGGTTGTTTTTAGTTTTCTTATATCCACATCAGATTCACATCTCGGCGTAATTATGGCACTATCCTGCATAATTATGCCCAACGGCAACAGATTCATGTCCTTATGGCTTTTTCAAAACAAGTAGTATTTGGAGTGGTAGTCACGATCATCAGCTTCAATGGCAGGATTTAAACATGATCCGACGAAGGAAAATGATCCCAAAAATCCACGTTTTATCATAAAGTGCAATAGAGACACCATCATTTTCAGCTCCGTCATATACCAGGACAGATTCTTCACCAACCTGTACCGTAAAACAGTGCGTGACGCGAAGTGAACTGAAGGCTGCGCAAACGTAGACACCAATAGGTAGATCGAGGGTCCTCAATGCCA